ATATTTAAATTGAAAGTGACTTTTAAATTGCCATCGTACTATAGGAAACGTCTCTTGGCTTTCAAGGCAGTATTATTCGGCCGTTTCAATTATAATTTGAGGTGGCTGGATTATGTAGTTGTACCAATAACAGGCCAAAATTTGACGGTATTTCGAGCAAAATTGAAGAAGTTATGAAAATTTGGGAGACGGTTCGCCCAAACGTACGGTATATCGATGAACCACCCACATCTTGACCAAACGTATGAAAATCACCCAGTACGAGATATCCAAAGGATAAATTTTACCAGCACATATATTAACCATGGCCCTTAACTTGGTAGACCACCCACCTCGCCATGAGTGATCAATCAGTCCGATCTATCCCACGTGACGTTGGTAAACCTCTTGCCCCTTTTCATTGGCCACACTGGCATGTTGTTTGATCTACATCACGATATCAGGATTAGTCCTCATCATGGAGCCCCCCACCTTGTCTACTGCATCCGCTGCTTTGTCCTTGATCGTGTCGCGGGCACTCGTGGCCTTCTGTTTCGCCGAGTCGTAGTACTCGGACGTTTTGTCGCGCAACTTTTCGTCTTGGCGCTCCAAGTCGCTCTTGGAAGCATCAGCTAGCCACTTGGGGTCTTGGCTAGTGAACTCACTCTTTGCTGCAAACGGGGACGTCCTGTCGCTATGACCCTCGTATCCGCTCTGCTTTGAACCAGGCGTCTTGGCTGTATGGGTCTCGTACCCGCTTTGCATCGGACCAGAGGGGTGGTTGGGGTCTTGGACGAACGAATGTTTCCTGACCTAACGTTATCACAACTTCGTACGTCGTCGCAGGCAAGTGCTTCAGATTATACCGTGTCCTTCAACTTCCCCAGCATGCCCTTCTCATTGTCATCGCGTTCTTGTTGCGCCATGGTGGTTTGGGGAATGAGCAATCTTGGTCCGAGGGCCGCCACTCCAACGGCCACGACTCGTTGGACAACACGATTTCAAGTAGGGCGACATGTCTCGAAAGATTCCACTACTGTAACTGTGCCACTGCTGCAGTCGGAAAGGTATCAAGAACGGGTCGATACCGATGTTGGCTTCCGCAGCATTATTCATCCATGGCAAGCGTGTACTCGATGACTAAAACTAGTACGAATGTTCTACACGGTGCCAGAATCTCAACCAGCAAGACCACGCTTTTCATGTGTATTTGGATTCGTGGCTTCATCTTAACAATGTCGCGAGGGCCAGGCCAACCCTTGCGCTACCATTTAATGCCAAACGGATTCGCCTGCTCCATCTTGGGCACAGCGTGGTACCGCGTATGCAGCAGCGACTGGGCCTTGGCGGAAAACACTTGGCCGTCCAGGTACGTGTTGTACACGTGGGCGACGGCGGGGTTGGCGGCGACATCGCGAAACTCCGCGTCCCGGAACACGTGGTTCACTTTTTCCACCAGCGCCTTGTTGCCGGCGGGGGTTTCAGGCTTGATTTGCCCCCCCCCGTTCAAACATCCGCCTACGTCATCCTTGTCAACCAACTAACTATTCACTAACAACATACCTGGACACGCCATAATCTCGACGAAATGGTACGGGCACTTGTGGCGCTTGACCTTCATCAACACGGTTTGGATATTGCGAAACCCATACGCGAGCGCAAACCGCAGCACTTCGACGCCGCCCACATTGAGCGACACTTCCTTGAAGTCGGCGTTCCGGCCCATCACGTACGGCAGGTCGTCGGGGCAGTCGACGTTGAACAGCTCCTTCGCCGCGTATCGAAAGATGTGCTCCAAGTACCCTCCGCTCCCAATCTCCCCGGACGTGGTGCTGCTGCTCAGCACATGTGTTCCACCTGAGGCCAACCCGCTCCACAGCACTTCGTCGCTCGTCAACGTGGCTTCGTCCAGCGAACCCAAATCCACGCCATGCAACATATCGAGCAGTTCCGACGCTGCCAGCACACAGTCGACGTCGCGGGTATCGGTCGCAGCGTCCAAAAAGTCGTTTCGCGACGCTTCGAGTTTTTTATCGTAGCAGGGCATCACTGTGCAATGGTACACCGGCTGACCGGTGGCCAGCAGCCGCTTGACAAGCGTGCCGTTGATTTGCTGCGGGGATTTGGTGGTGCTAATGTACGGAATGGCGTTGGCGTTCGACTTCTCGGCGTAGCACACCCACCCTGGACACGACGACGTGAGCATGGGCAGCGCCACGTGCGCAGGTGGCTCATCTGTGGCCGCGGCGTCGTAGTAGTCGGTCTGGGTTGATGACACTGGCCGGGACGACGGCGGGCGGGACCATGGAAGCGTCTGACGGTGGCGGTACCGAGCGATGAATTCTGCGCGGGCCTCCAATAACGCGAGGTCGGCGGCGCACGCCGAGTCCAACACGACGTGAACGCCAATCTGTCGGAAGTACGTGACGAGCTTTCTGTGGCAGACAGCAATGGGCAGGTTGAAATGAGCCGCAATGGACGCGCGGGCCTGGGGAGACAAAGTCACGACGAATTGCATGGCATGGCGATGGGTTTGAAGCGCGGCCAAGAACTCGGCGGCACTTTGTTGGGAGATGAGGATGGATTCTGCCGATGTGACGCAGCCACTGCATGCAAGGCAGTCGTTAAGAGACACCATGGCGGTGTCTTGGCTCGAGCTGCGAATGAGATTGGGCTCGATCGCGACTTGGTGGATGCCGCTGTAAATGTCGCTGTCCAAGTTGACCTGGGTCGGCTCTTTGGACTTGTCCTTGCCCGTAAGGAAGAGTGGGTTCACGCATGCTTGTGACGGCGCGATGAAGTCGTCGAGATCTCCTAGAAATACAGATGCCTGCATGGAGCTTTCATGAGCAACTGTTGCCAGCAGTTGTCCGACTTCCTACCATGGTGGTGGATTGCTGCCGTCGTTTCTTCTCAAATGCAAAATGCGATTGGTGTCAAATACGAGCATTTGATTCGCTATATTAAAGCCAATGACACCCAGTACTTCTGAATCTGACGTTTTCATTTGTGAAAATCTACCCAATCAACGTCATCGAAGTTCACGGAACATTCAATCTTGCTTCGATCGACAAGCGCAGGTGCGTAACGATGGAGGGTCCAAAGCATAGCTAAACGTTGGATCGACATGATGAGCTCCTCCGGCAGTCGTCACCGCGACAACCTAGCCCGACAGAACGCCCGTGGGAGCCCACGCGTCGTACTTGCCATTTGTGAATAGATTGATGTTGCTGGACGCTGCAAAGGCTTCGACGCCGCTATAGACGACCGACGATCACAGGGGACATATCTTCACGTCCCAGTTCTCCACGCATTCCCGCTCGTCTTCTATCTGGTTGTGCATTTGCCGCCGAAACAAGTCGTTGTCGCCACCCCTTCATGTCCAACGGGGTGTCAGCGCAGTTCAAGTAGTCCCAAAAGTCGTCTTGGTCGTCGTCGACTTCTAATGAAATGGGATCGTTCCTGTTAAATTGTAGTACACATTCGCATTGGCAATCAAGGCATCCCGCAGCGCTGTCGACTCCTCCAGTAGCTCCGCTATGAAGCAGCGTGCTTCGCGAATCTGGCACGCCGGCAGCAAGCGCTATCCGCTGGTCATGTAGCTCGACGGGTAACGTTAGGGGTAGTTTCCCATGGTCAACGTATTGTTAGCATCTTTGAGCCGTGTGGTCAGTGTGGCCACGTCGTCGAGGGGGTCACACAATCAACACTTGAGCTAAGCTGTGCGCCTCGATGCTGTAGCTCCAAAGCCAATCAGCACCGGCCAAACGATGTTAATCGCGCATCGGGGCGATGAGCCAGAAGGGTCAAATTCAAGGAAGCTCAGCACTGGAGCAGACGAAACAATATAGCCTTGCACCAAATGAGGTACTTTAGGCGCATCCAGGCTGCCGTAGGACCCGCCAAAGACCATTACATAGTCGGCCATTGCATTATTGAGACGAGCAATGCGAGCATACTGGTGACGGGGTTGATTCGCCCGCTCCGGGGACATGGCCAGGCCAAAGTATCGAAGTTCTGCAAACACGAGGCGGACGCCCAACAACGAAGCCAAAATCGAATTACAGCTGAGAAAAGTAGTCGCAGGATGTGTTGAAACGGTTCAAAGGCTGGAGGATGGACAGTTCTTGGCAGCGACGGCGGAGGTCGTTTTCAAACGAGACCGGACTCGAGAGGGATTCGGCGGCACGACGTGAGCGAGCGATAGTGAGCATGATAAGATCAACGAAATCGCTGAAGGATGACAAAGTGGGTGGCATATGATCGCAGCCTGGAGATACTCGTCCACAAGGTTGGACGGGGAAGTAGCGCGGCGTGGGCGTACAATGGTCGTTTGGGCAAAACTTCAACTTAGTAGTCGATTTGGATAGGTCAATTCATTACAGTATAATTACGACAATGTGATTGGATGTTATCAAGCCAATCCAATCGTTCCACTGTTGCGCTCCGCGAGTCCGAACACACACACATGCCTATGACGATGGCATTCCTTCTTGTCATCATGCTTGGAATGTGTGCATGTACGCGCAATGACACGTGCAATGATGTCATTGAACATCCCATAGGCACTAGCAGCTCGCCCCTACACCACAACAGATGCGACGGAAAGGACATCTTGAGTACATGTACGTGGCGATATATTCGGCATAACGTTAGTTGCAAGGTTCTAACGCGTCCCGTTTCAGTAGGCGATGGTACTCCTGACAACTCTGGCTCCGGAAACCAGTTCCAATCCCCAGGGCTCGCTGCAATGCCCAATCATTCACTCCTTCTCTCGACGCCACTCCACGTCGCCGCCTATCGTGGCCGATCGGTGCGTATAGTATTTAACGGTAGTTACATCATTACATGTGCGTAAACTAGGATGTTATTCAATGGCTCTTGGAAGAAGGGCACGACATCAACGCACGAAACCTCAATGGCGCCACTCCGCTGCATGTGGCAGCGTTGGCAGACGAAGGCGAGGCCGTGATGTCGCTGCTGGTGTCCAACGGGGCAAACGTCAACGCGATCAACTCGACGGGGTCTACACCTCTGCATGTGTGCGCTCGACTCAACCGTGTGCATGGAGCCGCCATCCTATTGACCCAGGGCGACGCAAACATACATGCCGTTACTGCCCAGGTTAGACTCCCAATTTGTGAGATATTTCATTGCCTGGTGTAGCTGGATACTGCATTACATCTGACGCCGTCGACATCGGCCATGGCAACACTACTCTTGGGATGTGTAAGCCTGCCTGCCTGCCTTGCCATCGAGTGTTGATAGCTTTGCGTCATATACTGTCATTCTAGGGAGCTGACCCGACTGTGCGAAATGCCCTCGATCGACTGGCATGGACTCCACTTGGCAACACTGGAGGAATAGGGCCATGATACAGTAGTTACTACTATGCTAACACGAAGAGCGGTTGTGTAACGTTTAATAATCAATGCATGCATTCGGGAATGCTTGGCTATACAAACCACGCCGTACATGTTTGTCCGTTTTCAATGTCATGAAATGACTTAAATGCTCACTTTCGCAATCAACGACGCTCAAGGATCGATCAAATATTTACTTTGCAAGCAAGCTTGCCCCCCACCACCGCATACTCTTTGCACGACGCGGCGTCTTTCAAGTCGGCGGCGAACGCCAGCGTCGGCGTGGCTGCCTTGACACACGAGGCAGGATACAATCCACCAACCGCCGTGCGATTGATGTAATCGCATCGACTGAGCATGGTCTTATCGTAGACCATGATGCAGCTCTCCATGTAAAACGGAGAAAACACCACTTGCGGAAGAAAGTATCCTTTGACGGCAACCCCCGCGGCCGCGGCTTGCGCTGCGTCGATCCACGGAAGGACTTGACGGTTGTTGGACGGGGAATAGCTCCATCCGTAGTAACATTGCCCGCAGCCCCGAACGTTGTGGAAGGTGTACTCCCGGTACGTTTTGCAGCGGAAAGCGTTCACGGCCACTTTGGTCGACACTGCGGACGAGCACGACGCAATAGAATCGAACGCTCGGCCGTCCAATGTCCACACCTTTGATTGGCATTGGGGGATATTGACTGGGATTTTGGTCGAAAACTCTGTGACGGTGGTGCTGATTTGAACGGACACTCGTGGCGGCAGGGCGGTCGTTGGTGCGGATGTGGCCACGTCTGCGACGGCAAGAAGCACCGACAGCATCATGGCCGCCGACATGGGAACCGCGAAGGTATGAATCGGGGATTTCCAACACGACCGGTTGCGTGCCTTTTGATCCAAATCTACTAGTATCCGCTAGCCAATCAGAAGCCTCGGGGACGTTCAATTTCAATGATCCGAGTTTGATTTCCAACACGAGTTTGATTTCCCATTGTGCATTTCACCCAAATATTTGGACGTGTGAGTCATTTCGCCAAATAGCATTTGAATCCATTGGATCCAATTTAAGCTTGTACAAACTATACTTTACAAATATTAGTATATCTGTGGTTTTGCCCAATGCGAGGGCTGGGTCGAGTCAAACGTTTGGATTGGGAGAAATTCACACGAACGTGATTTGATTGATTGGCTTAAAAGCGGTTCTTTAATCCATTCTCTAGACAATAAATTTTCCATTATCTTAAACAAAAATGACACGACCACGCACATGGATAAAACTTACTCCGGAGTACAAGACGATTTCGCTGTATAAATAGATTTCTGCGTCCGGAATAAACACAAGGAATCAGCTACTTTGCAATAATGCTGTCTGTAGAAGAACTTGTCATGGTTGTCAAGCGTTGATTTCTCTACGCCTATTTTATTAATAAATTAAGCTTGCTAAAAAAATAAACTACACCGTTCATCGTAATTAGTGTGGACCACACTAAATAGGAATGTGTGATTTGGGGTATGGTCACAAGTATTAGTGTGGACCACACTAATAGTGAATCCACACTAAATAGGGGGTGGTCTAAATAGTGTGGTCCACACCATTTAGGAATGCACATATTTAGTGTGGATTCCCGTAGCGGTGTTCGAGTGCACAGATGAGGGCGGGTGCGATCAGTTCGTATGAGCTTCAGGCCATCATCATCAAGTACGAGAAGCACTATGAGGGCTAGGGGCAGTTCCACCATTGCTGCCATTCAGTTCCACTCCGAATAAGTGACCTGTATTCAATGGGGTCTTACTACAGTAATTCGTTACATGCCAGCGGCCGCTACACCAGGTGGAGGAACCAACTCGCCCTCGTAGTGATTCTTGTACTTGGCGATAATCGCCTGAAGCTCCGGTGTAAGCTGCGTCACGTGCCAGAAACCCGTTACGTCGAGAGATAGACCACAACGGATCATAGCTTTTCGAGCGTAGGTCAGCCCGGCGTTGTCCCTCATCGAGTTTACAACACGAACGCAGTCGGCGGCCAACTGGAGGAAATATGTTTTCCCTGGATTCTTGAGCTTGCCCGACCAGCCCCCGTCAGCACGGACGTTGTTAGACCACTCATTGTGCTGAATCAGCTCGAGCTTCTTGATATCCCAGCGACGGGTCCATTCGTCCTTGATCTTGGAGATAACAAACGAATCAGCGGGCTGAACTAAATCAGTCGCACACGGCGGGAAGAAATGGATGGCCGTGTTCGTTTCAGCCAGTGCACGGTCCAGCTCTTGAGAGGCGTTGTGCCCGCCACAATTGTCGACCCACAAGTCTATTCTCTCTCGGCGTTGATCGAGTGGGTAGGCACGGCGCTCCTTCATGTACAACGGGAACACCTGTTGCAATGGTCAACTGCGGTGCTCATGGCCGAATAGAGGCATCTTACCAGTTTATCATTCCAGGCTTTAGCACCTGTACGATAGGACGCCCCTGAGATGGTGTCAGGAACGCCTTGTATGGGGTAGCTCCTGTTCTTGTTCATAAAGATCATCATCGGGGCCACGACGCGAGCTTGGGGGCCACCAGTAATAGTCACCATCATCGTCATCGATTCTCCGCCCGACACAACATCGGCATATTTCACCTCCGTGTCTCCGCGCATTCCTAGTGTAGTGCCGTTGTCTAAACACAACAATATAAGTATGTCAGACGCGCATAATTGATCCAGTTAGTCCACCGACCGCAATTTATGACGAAATGTGTCTCGTCCATATTCCGCATTTTGTTCTCATCGTACTGCCCGCTCTCGAATCCGCGGTGAAGCACCCCCAAGTGGTAGGCAACAGATCGCTCGATGTGATCAAGCTTCTGCGGGCTGACCAACAGCTTCCCCCCCGTCTGGCTGCGATACACGATGTTGTAGCGCTCCTAATATGAATTCCCCGTCTGGCTGCGATACACGATGTTGTAGCGCTCCTAATATGAATCGGTCAGTATCGTCAGTGCACTTAACCGTCAACGACCGATCCACATCATACATACCATGAACATCTGGATCCAGCGAGGGGTGATTTTTTCCATGATTGGCTTCTGGTCCTTCTGATCAATGTAAGCGCTGTTGTACGCCGAATCGCTCTGTCTTATGACATCTTTGGCAACAAGCCGCAGGAGGGAAGCGGAGAACTTGACACCTAGTGCCTTCAGGCGGCGGAACTCCAAGTAGAGGTCATCATGTGTCTGCAAAACCCATGGAGCGGTCTTGTGGTCCACGCCCAGAGACTGCCTTGAGAAGGGCGACCTTACGGATCGAATTTCCGAGACCAGAAACCGACTTCTGGTTGAAATCGTTGTAATCAGCCACATTCTCACGTTCTTTCCACCACCGGGTCGCCTTCATGTGATTAGCCTGCAAGAATTAAATATATCATTACGGGGTCGTTGACAAAGC